AGGTGGACATCACTGAAGTAAGTAGGTCACTGGGGACATATACTTAAGGAATATATCTGGTCCCTTATTCTCTCTGTGTGATTCCTGGCTGCCATAAGCTGATTAGCTTTCCTGAACCATGACCTTCAACCAACATGTAATGTCTTACCTCAGGCCCAGAGCAGTGGAGTCAACTAACCATGGGCTGAGAACTCTGATATCATGGTCCATATAAATATGGCCTCTTTAAGTTGTTCTTGTCACGTATTTGTTCACAGCCATGAAAAACTAACACATATATAGATACTGAGAAATGAGTTATTGGTGTGACTACACCTGAGGATGTAGTTCACAAAACTTTGGAACAGATTTGTGGGAGAAGTTTGGTTAAATTTGGAGATGCAGGATGGAAACCTTCAATGTAATCAACAGAATTTAATGAATGATTCTGGTAGTAACTCAGATCAAAAAGCTGATAGGAATGTAGACAGTAGAGACTGTGCTCAAGAAGTTTCAGCTGTAAGTGAGAAATCTAGTGGGAATTGTATTAGAGGCCATGCAAAGAACTTGTCTGCATTTTGTCTATGTCTTAAAACTCTCTGTGAGACTGACTATAAAAGTGATGAACTAATTAATTTGCTGGAGCAAATTTTAAGGCAGCACGACATTCAAGCCATGGCACAAATATTACTTCCCAATTTTATCCAGGTTTAGTGTGAGAATTGGAAGCAAAAAGCAGAGCAGGAAATTTGAAAATAAATTGCAGTTAGACCAATGAAGTGTACATAAAATTGGGGCCAAGGAAGGTGTAATTACTGAAGAGATTATGCTTTCACTGCAGAGAATCTAAGTAGTTATAGATAGAATAGAAATTTTAGGCTCAATTTTGTAAAGGTGAAGTCTCCTTCAACAGTCTTTGCTTTAACAATGAGATATAAGCAGTAATAAAGCCTTCCAAAAAAGAAAAGTCAAAGATCAGAAGGATTCTCAGGTGAATTCTACCAGACATTTAAAGAAGATCAAATGCCAATGATCCTTAGATTATCTATGAAATAGAAAGAAAGAGAATACTTCCAAATTTATCCCCTTCATACCAAAACCAGATTAGGACATATCAAGGGAAGAAACTACAGACCAATATTATTGATTGTTGCAAAAATCCTTGATAAATTATTAGTACATCATTTTAACTATATATTAACAAGATTATACATGGTGACAAAGTCAGTGTTATCCCATGAATGCAAGATGACTTAATTTATAAAAACCAATGAATGTAATTTATCACTTAAATAGAATTAAGAACAAAAATCACATAATCATCTTGATGGATGAAGAGAAAGGCTTCAATAAAATTCAGCATCCTTCATGATCAAAACACTAAAGAAACTAGGGAGAGAAAAAACTTACCTTGGTATCATAAAGATTATATATGACAAACCCAAAGCCAACGTCATAGTGAATGAAGAAAAAAAACCTGAATGCATTTTCTTGAAAAATTGGAACAAGACAAGTATGACCACATTTGCCAATACTGTCCAATATAGTACTAGAAATCCAGTTGAGCAATTAGGCAAGAGAAGGAAATAAAATTAAGGAGGGAAGATGTCAAATTATCACTGGTTACAGATATGATTCTATACTTGGAAGATCCAAAAAGCAGAAGACTTCTAGAACTAATAAGCAAATTTAGCAAAGTAGTAGGTTACTAAGTCTACAAAGATCTATAATTTTCCTATATACCAATAATAGATCTTTTGAGAAAGAAATTGGGGAAACAATCCAATTCACAATAGCCTAAAAGAAATTTTGAACTAAATCTTATCCAGGAGATGAAATATCTCCACAATGAAAACGATAGAACATTAAAGAAAGAAATTAAAGAAGACACAGGAAGATAGAAAGACCTCCCATATTCATGGGTAGGCAGAATAAATGTTGTTAAAATGGCCATACTACCAAAAGCAATATACAGATTCAATGAAATCCCTATAAAAATACCAATGACACTTATATGTATTTCAAAATTAATGAAAACTAGACCAAGAATTTAGAAAATGGAATTGTGGTTACTTTAGGGCATTATCAATTCAGAAGTAGCATGATGATACCAACTGAAAATTGGATGTTCTATATCCTTATATAGGTGGTAGTTATATAGATATTATGTAAGTAAAAATTCATCATGCTGTAGCCTTAAAAATACCAATGGCAAACAAAAAGAAGAAAAGAAGTGCTGGAGGCATCACATTAACTGACTTCAAATTCAGAGTCAAATCCATACAAATATTGCCTTTTAATCCTTGACAAAGGTACCAGAAACATACACTGGAGAAAAGACAGCCTTTTAAACAAATGGTGCTAAGAAAACTGATTATCCATATGTTGAAGAATGAGACTAGATCCTTATCTCTCCATGCACAAAAGTCAACTAAAAATGAATTAAAGACCTAGGAATTAGACCAAAAACTATGCAACTCCTAAAAGAAAACAGCACTCCAATAAATAGGCAAAGGTAATGACTTTCTCAATAGGACCCCTAAAACTCAGAATTAATGCCAAGAATCAATAAATGGGATGGCATAATTAATAAACTTATGCACAACAAAGGAAACAATCAAGAATGTGAAAAGAGAACCTACAAAGTGGGAGAAAATCTTTGCTATCTATTCTTCTGACAGAGGATTAATATCCAGAATATATAAAGAACCCCAAAAACTTGGCATCAGAAAATAATAATAATAATAATAATACCCTAATTGATAAATGTCAAATGAATTAGACAGAGACAATTCTCAAATGAAAAAATACCAATGGCTGACAAATACATGAGAAAATGTTTAATGTCCTTAAGAATTAGGAAAATGTAAATCAAAACTACACTGAGATTTCATCTCACTCACCTCACTCAAGTTAGAATGGCAGTCATTAAGCATATAAACAATACATGTTGGAATGTATGTGGAGAAAAAGGAAGAAGTTTACACTGTTGGGGAGACTGTACATTATTCATACAACCACTGTGGAAACCATTATGGAGTTTTCTTAAAAGACTAGGAACAAAACCACCATATTACTCAGTTATACTAAAACTTGGTATTTATCCTAAAGATCAAGATCAGCATATTATAGTGATACAGGCATACCCATGTTTATAGCATCACAACCACAACCGTCAACCTAAGGAAATAGTCTTGATGTCTTTCAATGGAGGCAGGATAAAGAAAATGTAACACACACACAATACACATACCCACAACGCACAACGGAGTTTTATTTAGCCATAAGGAAAATTGAATTACTTTATTTGCAGGAAAATGGATGGAACATGAGAACATTTGTTGAGCAAAATAAGCCAAACTCAGAAAGTTAAGAGTTGTATGTTTTCTCTTTTAGGTGGTAGCTAGAGAAAAAAAGAAAAGGAAAAGTGGGGGTGGGCGTCTGTCTTATGACAAAATCTAAAGGAGATCAGCACATCAGTAGAGAAGAGGAAAGGGACTAGGGGAGGGAAGACAGGGAAAGGGGAAATACCGGGAATGATATTGGACAAATTATATTGTTGTGTTGAGTGCATGTACAAATACATAATAACAAATCCCAAGTTATATACAATTGTGATGCACCAATTAAAATAATTAGGGGAAAAAAAGACTTTAAAAAGAAACCATGGGGATACCCTGTTTGCACAGGGGGTGCCTAGAAAGTTATTTCCCCACAATCCATTTCACCATGCTCAGCCGGCCAGGCACTCCAAGACCGCTGCAGCCCTGGACTCACGGAGCCCAGCTATTACTTGAGCTTGGTGTCATCCACATGGTGCTGATTTTGTAGGAATGCAAAATGCTGGGGGTACAGTATCATGGATGTTTCCACTGAGATTTCAAAGGAAGGTCTGGGAACCCAGGGAATGTGTGGCAGGGTTGGAATTCCTATAGGCAGCCCCTGAAAGGGCAATGTATGAAGATGTGAAAAAGAAAACTGAAGCTGCAATGGAGGCCACAGAAATTAAGAAATGCCGGGAATGTGGAATGTCTGCTGAGGAAAGCTGCAGGAAGCCAGCAGAGTCAGGCCAAGTGAGAGGCCATGTGGGCTACAATTGGCAAGGCCAAAGGGGCAGGGCTTCCCCAGCCCTTTAGGGCCAACATCTCATAAACAAGTGACCTGGATGCCAGATATGGAGTTATAGGCTTATGGTTTGCCTTTCGGTGTTTCTGTATTTCATTGTTCCAGTTCTTTCTTTATGTGCCCCTGTTATTCCCTTTTGGAATGGGGATGTTTATTCGGTACCATTGTTTATTGGAAGTAAGTAAGTTTTAAAATATTTTTTTTTACAGGATCTAATAATTAATAATTCACCTTGAGTCTCAAAGAATACTTGAATTTGAGCAAGGCTGAAACTGTTAAAACCACAAGGAGTCTTGGAGACAGACTGGATGCATTTTGCATCATGACATAGGCATGAGCGTTTTGGAGGCCAGAGGAAGAATGTTATGATATCAATCTGGAATGTCACCCCAAACTCATGTGTGTTCAAATTGTGGTGCCAGGTGCATCAAGGTTCAGAGTTGGGGCTTTTGTGCAATGACTGAACATGTAGGCTGAACCTCACAAATGGATTAATCCATTTGATTAATCCATTTGTTGGATTAATAATTTGATTGGACTATGAGGCTATAACTTCTAGGCAGGTAGTTGTGGCTGGAGGGAATAGGTAACTGAAGGTGTGCTCTTTGGGACTATATCTTCACCCTGTCTCCTCTTTTCTCACTTATCTCTTCTCCCTTCTCTCTTCTCCCCCACTTCTTCCTGGCTGCCATGAGCTGAGTAACTTTTTGCGCCATCACTTTCTACCACACCGTGGACCCAGAACAGGAGGAGAAGGAGGCCAATCGTGTACTGAGACCTCTAAAACCTTCTTTAAGTTGTTGATTGTCAGGAGTTTAGTCACAGCCACCAAAAGCTGACCAACACATATAACTTGTGTTTACTTCAGCTGCCATGACAAAACACCACAGACTAAGTCACTTAAACTACAGAAATTTACTTTCTCATAGTTCTGGAGACAGGAAATTGAGATCAGGATGTTAGCATAGTTGGATTCTCCTGTGGGCGCTTTTCCTGGGTATGAAGATGGTCCCCTTCTTACTGATCCTCAATGGCAGAAAGAGAGTTCAGGTGTCTCTTCCTCTTCAGATAAAGACACCAGTTCTGTAGAATTAGAGTTGCATCTTTATGATTTCATGTAACTTTAATTACCTCCTTAACAGCCTACCTCTAATATTGTCACTTGGGAGGTTAGGGCTTCAATACATAAATTTGGGGTGGGAGGGGATACAGTTCATTCCACAGCCACTATTAGACATGCTCTAGTGCTTTTCCTCCATTCTTCCTTCCTGTCCCAGCCAGAGGCTACGCAATCACCTGGAAAAAAAGGAACAGAACAGCAACAATGAAGAAAGGTGTGATTTAATATTTTCCTTTGTAGATCTCATTCCCTACATTTTCCTTTAGACAAAGGACTCCCATCATTATGTGCCAATTATAAAAATAATACAATTATTTTTATAATTCTGTAATACAGTTGCTTTGAAAATAATTTTTGTTATGTTCGCTTATTTTGCTTTCTGGGAAAGTCCATCTATGATATAAACTTGTAGTAGTCACTCATTTTATCTGGCAAATTGACAGACTTATTCTTTTGAATTGCTATGCCCTACTTCCATGGGGGGCCCTATATGAAACTGGAGGTCAGTGAGTTAAAATATTGCTTTGAAATGTTTTTACTTTAAGAAACCATATTACTTATACATGTCAAAGCTGTTTTTCTACAAATACATCTATTTTCTTATAAATATCAGTTCTTTCAATTTTCTGAGAGTTTTGAACCACATGGGTAAAATAAATGGTGACACCTGCTCTTCCGTGTTCAAATGAATTCCTGCTCAATGCAGTTGGTTATTTGTGCTCAGTAAATAATTGGGTAGTTTTGGTATTTATCTTCAAATTTATAACATTATTTTTCTAAAGTTTTGTTTTGCTTAAATTTTTATTAAATATTGGGTATATAATATACATGAATGCACACTTTGATTATATTACTGATCAGTCTTATCCAACAGGTTTTCAATATCATGTTCCAAAGTATGCAAAAATTAAAAATAACATTCAAGCTGCATGGTTCTGCTGTTAAGATTTTCACATCCTAGAAATCTGTGATTTCCCCCTCCCCCACCCCCTCGGGTTGCACAAAGAGCTATTGTTTGATGAGGATGAAAGTTTATGAGGTAATTCAACTCAACATCCAGTTAAAGAAACTAGACATTTTCACGAAACCATAAATACAATGTGAAGACAGATTGAGAGTGAGATGTCTGTTGAATATGTTCTCTGCACAGCTCCTCAGAGCAGTCTGTACATAGAAATATTCTCACCCCATCTGTTTCCTCTGCCTGAGTGACAGATCTGCTCCTGTCAGCATTCCATTCACCAGCAAGAGGGATAAGATGTCCAGGTGCACATGGTTACATCTGATCTCCTGCCTCATCATCTCTGTAATAGATTTACTAAAAAGTCAAGACAGGAAGTAGCTAAAAATGGGAGAAATGCTTCAATTTAATAGATTTGAAGTAAGAGGAGAAATAAATTCTACATATTCTTCTAAGGTGAGCTGAAATAAAGTCTCCTCCTTTAACTAGTTTTGGCCACAGAGTCATCCTGTGGCTTTAGCATGTTCACAGTGCGCTGAAGGAAAACATACTCATGAATTCACATTGATTGTCACACCCATTATTTGACAAATTGTTTTATATCAAGATTTTAGAGGAGGTAGGAAAGAATACCCATAGCATCCTGGTGAAAATGGTTATGTAATCTCAGCTCACTTTATAGCCTGGAGCAAACTGTTTCTTCTAAGAATTTCAATTATTTTATATGTATAAAAAGAAGTCAGCTGATGAGACTTGATATCTCTGTATGTCAAACGTACCAGAAAGAATTTTTTTGCAAGATGATTCAATATCCTATTACTAATTGTGCTATATGAGTTTCGAATACTAATAAATTATGGAACATTAAGTCTATAAAGTGTTGTGATTTATTTGGATGATTCATTTTAAGCTCTTGGAACAGGAACTGTTTTGAATACATCTTTGTATCCCCCCCCCCACAGAACCTGGCACAGTGCCTCAGAGAGAATTGGGATGAATAGATTTTTGTTAAGTGAATAGATTTTACAGTCCCAGTCGGTAGTTACAATTTCCCAGAGTAATGAAGAGACCTTATTTTAGAACTGGATTGAAAGAATGATCTCACACTAAAGACCTGAAAGATAAATGTACCGGAAATGTAGCCAGTTCACAGCAGGAAATCATTGCATAACTAATCTTGAGGATCTTTATGGTGACAGTCCCCAGTTCCATCTGTGCCCTTTACACACATATGCACTGTGTATTTCATTGTTAATGGCAGGCAGAAGGCATTGGTAGGTCTCATTTAATTGTATACATCATGATTGGGCTGAAGACTGAATCTCTGTCCCTCCTCATCAACTTCTGTCTCTCTCCCTCTCCAAAAACAGGTTCTGGAGGAAAGTGATATGAGAGCAAATAGAACTGCAATTTTGTTGCTTGAACACACTAAGTATCTGTAGACTGATGAAATTTAATGATATGGATTTTCTGGCACAACCTTTTGAAAATTCATGACCAACCTTAAATGACAAGACTTTCTTTAAATATTATTTATTTATGATTACTTATTTCAGACACTAATTCATTCATAAATTTACTGATTTTAGCATGAACACAGGATGGAAAAAGTACTCTTCTAGCCCTCAAAGAAATAATAGATCTGCAGAGATCTGACAGTGTCAAAAATATCCACACAACAGGTAGGAAGGATCAGATTCACAATAGAGGAAGAACAGGAAAGAAAACTTTAGAAGTTTTTAGTCTTTTCCATGAAGCAACATATGAAGTACTCTGGAAAAGGGGAAGGAAACACTTCTTGAGGGTTTGAAGAGGTCAAATATGTTTTAAGCAGTTCCTTCTCATTTCTTGGTGATTTGCATTGTATGTGTACATATTTATGCATGCATAATACACAATGTACACACATACTGATATTTTTATTCATAACTCTGCTTAACATAATATTACATCAGGATTGTAAAAATGGTTACAACAAATGATTCTCTTACCTGTGATGTGATTATTTTAAACAGCATACAATTTCTTAATCTTTTTTTTAACATGCAGAGAAAATGGCTGAACAGAAAGTCTGTCGCAGAAAGAAAAAGAAAGCCTTAAGTCTATTCAGAAAACTATCAGATGCTGACATCTAGTGGCTTTCAGAAGCCATTGTTACATTTAACAATGCCCTATACTGTCTATATGTTGCATGCTTCCAAGTGCAAATGCACACAAGCACAGATATATCTTATTTATTTATTCTATTATGATTATCTATATATAACCCCAGTGATATTTAGAAAAAATGTAAAACTTCAGTGAGACATTTTTATGATCAATTGCATTATACATTTTGTAAAATGCTAAAAAAAATCTTTTCTTCCTTTCTTATTTTTTTTTCCTTTTCCCATTGTGTAGACTAATGTGTTTGTAACTAGCTTTGCCACCTCCTGGACTTTAGACTTTTTGTAATCTGAAATAAATTTATTGTGCACTAAATTCTGACATTTTAGCCATCAAAATAGAGGAAGGGAACTGAGTGGTGGAGAAATGGAGGGATGAGGGAGGTACTGGGGTATGAAATTAACTGCAGAATAACAGTTCTCATTATATCAGAGATACATCTGATATCCCCCTTCCTTTCCTAGAAAGTTATTTTCATGGGAAGAAGAGATTAGGAAACTGACCCCTGGCCCAGGAAGAGATGACAACAGGTGTCTGTTACCTGGGAGACTTCATCTGTCTACCAAGACAACCTTTGTTGGCTGTCACCTGCATTCACTACTCTTTCATAGCCTGTGTCCCGCTCCTCCCCAGAAACCCAGGCCTCTATTGCTTTGCTTGGCTGTAGATAAGGTTTAACCATCTTGCATTTCTTTGGGTCTCATACTGTCTGACTTCTATTCTATTACATTTTTAGGCATGTAATAAAATTGCTTAATACCCCCTGTATTTTGCCTATTGTTAGATTTTTTAAAAATATTTTTTAGTTGTCAATGGACTTTATTTTATTTATATGCAGTGTTGAAAATTGAACCCAGCGTCTCACTCATGCTAGGCAATCACTCTACCACTGAGCCATAATCACAACCCTATTGTTAATTTTTATTGCACTGACTCAAATTATTAAAATTTCAGAGAACAAAGTATATATTTAAAACTTCCCAATAGTTTTGGCACCCCCCCATAAAATAAATAAATAAATAAATAAATAAATAATAAAAAGTAAATAAATAGAAGAAAAGAAAGAAAAAAGAAAATCACTCTATTCACTAAAGAAGTGATGGAGAGGTACCTGGCCCCTGATTAAGCTGGTATAGATAGGAATTCTCACCCCATGTCTGTCTCTTTGACATTCGAATAATCTTTTCAGGAGAATGGTAAAAGTCTATTTTGTCTTTTTCCTTTCCAAATGTAGATTGGAAAAAGGAAATATTTATGTGAACTAGTTCTGTTAGTAAAAGTGACTTCTGGTGTATTTTTTGTGTGCATGTTGAGTACTCTAGTTTTATCTTTCTTTCAGAGATGGTGTTCATTTTCCATGTCTCTGCCTTCTGTGGGGATCAACACCAGAAGGAAAATCATAAGATCCTTCTTTTGTGTGGTTCTGTGTTTCAGAAGCTTAATCTTATAACCAGCCAGTATAGTATCTGGTCTCTACCACTTGGAGGTTATAAGTAGTCAGCTCACAGGAGGTGGCCAGGCAGGAGGCTGGGATTCCAAATGCCTGCTGATCCAACTATGCCACACACTGGCGGTTTGTCTTTGTTGTCTAAACCTCTCTTGCTTTATATTTAGACTATTTTTGGGGAGTGAACATTTGGAAAAGGGACCTGACTACTCCACCACCATTCCAGTAACACCAATTGTCTTTATGATAAAGATTTATTCTGGACATAGGAATTTATTCCCTGTTCTTTCAATGAAAAGACTTATCAGAATAAGTTGTTATTGAAATACATGCACCACTGGAGAGGCCAATTTGGTCAGTGATCAGATGATGGTGAACCCTCTCACCCTAAACAATTATCCTACTGACATTTATGGGAAGAACAAACTTTAAAAAGGCACAAAAATAGTTTCTAAGTCGTAAGAAAGAAGCAATTACATAATTCATTGAAATATCTTGTAGGAAAACAAATTACAGTATAAGCTGACAGTAAGTGAAAGCTGATAATCAGGTATTAATATTTTTGAAGTCTCTGTTTTTTCTATTTGATCCAACTGTGCATGTATTAATGGAGTTTTGTACCTGTCTCGTGACTAAAATTTGTCAATAAAAACTGCAATACCTTAATTTTTGTTTGTATTTTGATATATGTATGTATATGTGTGGGGAGAATCTTTTTTCCACATGCATGTGTTTTTGTATTTTCTAAATGTTAACAGATTGAATGAAGGAATGATTGTAAATTGAACAAAATTACCTCAAATATTTCTTCAAGTATACATGATTTTAGTAATCTTTTGTAAATAAGAATACTGTTGCTCTAATTAAAAACAGGTCTATTAAAATTAAGTACAATTAATCTATAAAACTTTTATCTCTATTAGTTGTTTTACAATTATAAAAAGTGTGAGTTTGACCTAAGAATGAGTAACTCAAGTGTATATATATATATATAAAATATAATAAAAGTTTATAGGGCTGGGGATGTGGCTCAAGTGGTAGCGTGCTCACCTGGCATGCATGCAGCCCAGGTTTGATCCTCAGCACCACATACAAACAAGGATGTTGTGTCCGCCGAAAACTAAAATATATATATATATATAAAGTTTCTCTCTCTGTCTTTTTTTTTTAAAAAAAGTCTACAAATGTACTTTTTTAATGATATTTTCTTTTAAAATGTAAAATGTTTCTCTAATCTCTGTGGTAGCTATACTCTCAGAATTTTACTCAGTTAAATTAAAGATACAGATTCATTAAATAGCTAGGTCATTTTCAAGTAGGATAAAATATTAAAATACTCATTGCTAAACATGGATTCAAGTATACTTACTTATGGCTTCTTACATTATAGAAAAAGACAAAATACATTTAGGTCTGTTAGTAAATACGTCCTATTATTCTAAAGGAATATATATATTTCTAGAAATGATCAAATCTGTAGAATATTGGTTTCCAGCTGCTAAAAATTCAAATCCAGTTAATGTATTGGTTAAACTGCTATAGATAAGTGGGCAGAGATGTGGGCAAAGCAGGGAAATGAGGATTGTTTTGGCAGAGGTGATAAGGCATAATGGCATGATTTATGTTTAAGGAAAAGTTATGTTGCTTACTTTGCCATTTAAAGATTGCCTTCAAATAAAGTAATAAAGGAAAGAATTTATAGATAAAAATCAATGGATGGAGAATGTTGGGCAAAAGAAGGAGAATAAGAGAAAATCTTTCATGGATAAATAAAAATTAAATACATTTATATTTGAGTCTTAATATCTAAATATCTAACTGATGAAAAAGTAGAATTGAGTTTTCTCTTTTAAACTAGATTTTGTATGATATTGATAGGAAATAATAAAGGACTTTTGCTCACCTTCTGAGTAAATAAAAAAAATTAAAAGGAGAAGTAAAGGCAGACTGTCTCATACTGTTTTGTTAGTTGGGAGAGTTGAGTTCCTTCTTATGGAAAAGCTGGGTTTTAATTTTATTTTGCTTTGTTTTATTACTGCTGAATGGCTTCCTGTGTTTGCTCTTTTAATTTTCTCTCTGGGTAAATGGATGACTGTTTTTTCAGTGACCTGTGATCCTATTTTGATGAAGTGTTTTAAACCTTTGACATATTTAACAAGTTTTCTTAGACTTATATTCATGTGAATGTGCCACTATTGTGTTCCAGAATTGTATGGGATTTCTATAAATCCGACATTGGTTATGTTATCAGTCATCATTCTGGTTATGTTAAATTGTTCTATGCCACAAAAAAAAAAATTGTCCTTGTCAATTGCTGGCTATAGTGAACTCCTATCAAATCTAGCTATAACTATTTTAAGTCTTTCCTTTTATTCAAAATTGTTCCATTCTCATGCTTTTTCTAGAAGGTATTTGCAAGCAACTATGATCCTATAGATCCTATAAAGTGTTGTATCTTCAAGGAGTTTCACGTAAAGGATATAATAAGAACTCTGACTAGTATTTTCTTTAAATTTTTTATTTATTTTATTTATTTATTTATTTATTTTTTTGCAGTGCTGGGGATTGAATCCAGGGCCTTGTACATGCAAGGCAAGCATTCTACCAACTGAGCTCTATCCCCAGTCCACTCTTAAATATAGATTTCTCATAACTTTGAGACGATATAACTATATAATTCCAGAACTTAAAAACTGGACTTGTAAATTGCTGACCAAGCATTAAACAAAGCAAAAAAAAAATTATGTGGAAATGAATTAATGAGAATTATGATTTTTTTATCTAAAATATTGGCGATTCTTTTTATATTTTTCCATAGTAAAAAAAAACATGCTTTTTTAAAAAAAATATATGTACTATTTTTAGCTTGTAGCAATTTAGTAAAGTATGCTTCCTATATCCAGATTTAAAACATTTATTTTCCCTGGTCCTCTGCCCCAAGAATTTTGAAAGCATTTGTGAGTATGGCAATATAATCATTTATTTAAACTTAATAAGGATCTGAGAACTTTGTAAAAGGATGCAATGGGAAATTGAAATGCTGTGCATAGTGTTGTATTCTCAGGTATTCCAAACATGCTTTAAAGAACAGAGTATAGACTTTATGAAGTTAATAGACACCCCTGGAAACTGGCTTAAGACCTTGTCTACACAGTTCTCATACAGTTTACAAGACTTGCAGAAAATATAGATTCTTTTCCTAACAGGCTCAGGACACCAGATTTAGGGAATCTTGAGGAGAGAGGAAGCCATCCCAAGTGTCCAGCTATCACAGGCACAGTCAACGGTGAGTCCTGATTTGTCTTCCTAGCATTAAGAGGTTTTTAGAAACTTCTAATCTGAGAATCCTTATTAAAAGCTCCAACAAAACACATTTTAAATGAGCTTATATGATCAATCACTTCTTGCGGCACCTTATGAAAATAATCACATGCATTTAATGAGAGTTATCTTCCTCTACA